TGAATTCGTCTGCTCACATATTCTCTATAGGTAGCTTTCGACTCCTATAGCGACTATGTTCTTCTGAAGCTAGGTATGGATGATCTGATATAGCACTCTCGTGGCTCTGATCGATCCTAGGCTCAGAGAATAGGTCATGAATCTACTCTCATGCTTTACGAATAACTTAGAAGAGATGATATCCAGAATATGGCTAAGAACAATAAAAATCCTAATCGATATAGATGCTTGTCGATATCTTTAAACAACTTGACTCTCTGGGACTAATCTACATGATGCAATGAATGATAAAAGACATAGAAGAATGCAAAAGAATGAAACAGAAAAGTTAATAAGATAAAAAGGAGGAAGAGCAATGGCTCTGGGGAAGAATCTCCATCTCCATCGCCTAACCCTAGAAAAACAGAGTTTGGTGGCTCAAAATCTCATTACAGGAGCACACACCCGTTTAGGGCTGCTAAACAATATATTTATAGGTCCTAAGGTCTTCCAGGTCTCATTTAGGGCTTCTCTGAAGAGAAATGGCGAAGTGGGCTTTGATGTTGGGCCTTGTGGCTCGTCCTAAGGTCCACCGGGGGTGAGAGTCTTCCAGGGCAGGTAAAACATGTGTTTCCCGCGGGTGAGAGTCTTCCGGGACTGGTGAACTGGGTCAACTTGTTCTCCATGTATCTTTTGATTCCACTGTTGGATCTTTGTGATGTAAAGTGCTATGGAAAGCTGGTTGTCTCCTCTTGATTGTCTCTAAATTTGAGTTGGATCGGACAGTGAGAGAGTTTTCATTTGAGGCTGAACTTCTGATGGTCTGACTCTGAGCTAAAAATGTGGATTTCTTCCATTTTGCCCTCATATTCCCTAAGTTTCCTGAAAAGAGCTTTAAAACTACAAATACATGGAAATCATAATAAAAGTTCCTAAAACAAAGTAAAACCTTTGAAAAACCATTTGAAATCAATATTGAAAAGTGGTCAAAATCAGGTGTTATCACTTGAACGTGCATCAATAGATTCAATTGGTAAATGCTTAATGAATGTCAAAGAGCCGTGTGATAAGAAGAGTTTGTGGAGATCATTTGTTGAATTTCGAAAATTAAGGTAGAGTCTTGCATTGCACATGGAATTGGCAACTTGAAATCTGAGTCTCTTTGTGATCGTATCTCTCTCCCATAAGGAATATGCACACCCGCTGCATCCAACCCCTTTCTCTCATTTGCTCTTTTTGCTTGAGGACAAGAAAATGACAAGTGTGGGGGAGTTGATATGTCTATATTTTTTCATCATTTAGGCTGCGTTTTAGAGTCCAAATCATGTGTTTTCTCATTCATTTTAGGTCTTTAGGCATCAAATTAGGTTTTAGGGTTTGCATTAGGTCCCAAAGAGTTTTGCATGGTTTGGAGTCTTTATCAGGTGCTTTGGAGGCTATTTGGAGCTCAAGAGGTGTGATCACGAGTTGAAGTGGTGAAGAAAAGGTTTAAAAATGGTGAAAACCGCTTGAAGGAATTTCTCGGCGAAAACTCGTACCGGCTGTATCAGTTTATCGGCTAAAAATGCCATCAGGTGGTCTTTATCAGCTAAAAATCATTACTGGGTGAAAATCCTATCTGGTGAAGCTTTACGCCGAGACGGGAAATTTTTATCGGCTAAAAAGCTTACCATGGTACACATTTCTCGGATATTTTCCTTTACCGCGGGGAGCATTTCTCGGCTAAAATCTATTTTCACCTGCGCGCATCAAAGATTGCAAATCCGGGGAATCTCCTGGTCCGAATCAGTTAACAGAGTCTTCATCAAAGTTGGAGATAATCAAGTCAGGATCCTAGAACAGTTAGAATCATAGAATTCGGAGCAGTGAGTAGAGAGATATCGCCACCGGGAGACACACCTGTCTCGCATGCGTTCAAGAGCCGATCCGATGAGTTTCAAAGATTACATGAGACGATGCCTTTCCAGCTCGAATCAGTTTACAGGGCCTACATCAATATTTGAGATCTCTGAGTGCGCTTTCAAGAACACCTGAGGTCATCCAATATGGAACTGTGGTCTGGAAGATATCGTCTCTGGAATTGACGTCGGTCTAAAAGCTGATTTTCCTGTCGTTCCGATGCGTGGCAAAGATGAGCAATCCGGGGAGCCTTCCACTTCCCAAGCTCTGACTGTTTCTTCACCAAAGTTTGAGCTGAATTAGTAATCTTGATCGTGGAATTTGTTTCAAGACATTTGGGGTCGTGTGCTGAGAGTTATTGCAACCGGAAGACAAGTTGATTAGTACAAGCCTAAGGAGTTGCGATACGCGCTAAGTGTTTCTGCGAGCCTCAGCATCATTACCTCGATATCGCTTAGGCCGAGGCTCGTCCCATGAACCTCTTTGGACCAGACCTCGTGCTAACTCCTCGATGTATTAAGACAGAGGCATGCGTACTGAAGAAGCAAAGCTGAAAACGACTAAGTGTTGGACGTGAACCTCAGCTTTGAGACCCCGGTATTGCATGTCGGACTTTAACTGCCCTGATCCCTCGACTACCAAACCCCTTGGCATTGCAATCCGAGGTCCCTTGTCACAAACCCAGATTCAAGAACAAGTTGACTCGGAGAATGCACGTGAAGATGGATTGAAGACTACGGTTCATGCATGTTCTTGACGTGTTCTTCATGAGATCTTCATCTTGATCTTTGCTCACGTGCACCCCTCAACATCAAGACCTCGGCTTCACTCTCTCACACACCGAGGTGCTCACCCAACGACCCAAGAAGAGCGCTCAGTACCCGGTTTGTTCTAGGCTGACCCGCTAAATTTTAGGACCAAAAACCTACTCACCTTTTATCTTATCTTATTTCCTACCTGTTTTAGCTTTGAGAACTTGCCTCTTTTGTGAAACTTGATTAATCTAATCTGATATCTCGTTTTCACGTGAAGATCTTGTTCTCTTTCTTTTCTTTTATTCACCAGCATTAAAACTTCTAATCATGACTAGCTACACGTCTTGCAAAGGATCTGGTGAGCTTGTTATGATTAGTGAGTAGTCCGCTTAAGAGGTTTTAGATAGGTAGATTAGGGTGTTTCCATGATAGATTAGCGAGTTTAGGGGTGTAATCTTGCATTTTTCATTCTCTATCCGGTCACATCTCTAAGCTGGATCCATGAACATCACTTGTGGTCCAGATCTAAGACATTTCTCGCATCAAAAGTATTTTTAGAAATGTCTGAACCAATCGGTTAGAGGTTTAGGAGTATTTCATCATGAGAATGATAGTTTGTTCTTCTTAAATGACTTATTGAACTGGATCTTAAAGCTAACTGATTAATGCTTCTCAAAATGGATTTTGGTATGAAAGAGGATCAGTTTAGATGTTTAACCTTCATGAGAGGATTAACTTATCTTGAGTTCATGTTAAATGAAATTGCTTGAAAATATTGATTCATTAACTCGCTAGTTTAGGTTAGAAACACCCGAGTCTTTTATCCTGTCTAAAGCCTCTGCCTTTATCATCTAATATCATCATCCGATCATTTGCTTTGTTACTTGCTATTATTTGCATCTTCATCTAGCTTAAATTTCATTACTTGTTTTATTTATGTCTTTTCTTGCATCCCAGGTAGAATAATCACCAAAAACCTTGCCTGATCATCTTGACTTAAGTTAATGAGCATAATAGATTGGTGCCTCTCCAAAAGTTTGGTTTGATAACCCCTTGTACTACAAGACAGGGGATTGATACCTCTATAAAGGCTGAAAAGCTTTAGCTATCAGTGTGTCCGCCTTTGTATTCTTCGCTCGTGGTATGTAGATCAATGTGAAATGTTAGAACTTCTCCCTGCATTTTTGGATTTCCTCCAACTGTAATGCAAATGCTGGCCAATCCTTGGGTGCCGACACCATCTTCACCACTTCAGAATAGTCTGTTGCAAAAGCCACTTCTCTTCGCTGATTTTTGATCATGCAAAACATTGTCCATAGGAGTGCTTCTACTTCTGTATGTAAAGGAGATAAACTTCACCGTAAATTTCTTGTCCCCGTTATTGTTTCATTGGTTTCCTCCTGTCAGTAGTACCAACATATATCTGACATTTTATCCGTCTCTTTCAAGAACCATCCACAGAGTACCATCTGCCACTAAAGGAGGTTGGATGCATAGTCAAGTCCGTGAGTTTGTATATCCGTTTCAAATGTCGTTCTTTATGCTTTTTCCCATAGAATGGCTTCTGTTTCCGCTAATCTGAACATCATTCGTCGATCTCTATTCATATATGAGAATAGTTTGTCATTTCTTAACAAAAATGTTATTATATATATATATATATTTATCATATTCAATTTGTTTAAATTTTTAAATATTTAAAATTAGTAAGTATTTGTATAATACAGTAATATGATGGAGCGAATTAGAGTTATCAAAACATGCAAATTTTATTTGCAGGTTGAGTTATAAAAAATGCAAGATAGTGGACTGATTTGAGATAGATTAAAAGGAAATATTAATCCATTTTAACAGTCATAAATATATAGATTGGTTGTGTAATAATCTATATTTACATAATAAAAAAGTTTAGAAAATAGATCAAAACATTTTTGGTAGCTACAATTACTAAAGTTGAATCATAAATATTATTCCACAAATATATGGTTTTTATATTATATAAAAACCATAAAAATATATAAAAATTTGATTTTCTATCTAAATAAATAATTTTTTATTTCTTTAAATTTATTAACATTTATATTAAATTAATTAAACAAATATATTCTACGCAGATGTGCGGGTGAAAATCCAGTTTGTATAGTTATTATTACAAATTTACAATCATCAATATACACAAAGTATCACAAACTAGTTAGTCGCTTATATTTTTTATCAAAATAATATTAAAAAATACTCATATGGATGCAAAACTTAGTTTGACTAAACTCAATGTTCTTTAAAGATCTTTGGTGTATTTTTTTTTACATATAAAAACGATTCCAGACCAAAATCAAAAATGTATCAAACCAATCTGAATGGTATTCGGTTTCCATTCGCCTTATATTTTATTAACCAAAATTCTTATAAACCAGCTCCAACTAATTTGTTTAGCTTTAGAAAATTGTTGATTGTATTACCATAACAATCTCAAAAGGGGACCTCAAGTGAGTCGTCCCATGCTTCAGCACTTCCATTAGAAGCATCTTCGACATCTTCTTCCATAGATAGCCTAATGTATTCTCTATGAGCAAAACGATCCCACTCGGTCCATGTAGGATTTGCGCGCTCCTATGTATTAGGAATCAATAAAAGAGCAATGAATATCTCTATAAGTACATAGCTAACTTGAAAGGAAATTCTATTGTGTATATATATACCTGGCGAATGAGGAAGGGATCACGCGTTTCAAACGCCATAAACTTGTTTAGGTTAAAAAGTATGTTGAAAACATTTCCGGAAAGTTTAGAACCCTTCAAATCACTTAGACAAATGTACCCTTCGTCTTCTGGTTTGACCATATCGAATAATTGGCACAGAATATCCTCAAACAGCACTGCCTCTTGCGCCATGCATTCCATTCGATGCAGTTGCTCCTCGTAAAAGAATTGCAGCTCGTTCCGTGTCAAAACTCCATTTGCATCCAAATCTATGCACTTGAACCTATATCATCAACTTAAATCATAACATAGCTCTTACCAAATAATACCTACACATGAAAAGTTTCACTCTCACCAGTACTCAAGACTAGGTTCTGATGACTTGTCTTCTTCAGCCAAAATGAAATAAACAAAATCCTCATAACCCATCTTTCCTTCGGTTTTATTAGTGAACTTCCTTGGTACCTATATAAGAAGACAGTGAAAATGACATTTCCAAGGCTTGCTAAAAGGAAGAAGAGGAGTAGCAAACCTGCGAAAAGATTCGGTCGACAATCCTGTAGGTCAGAGCATGATTACTATATCGGATGAGATTCTCTTTGTCAATCAAGAAATCATGGTCTGTATCGAGCTCCCAGAACTTGCAATATATGACATAAAAATGTTCATACGAAAAGTACCTAAATAAACCATAGAGAGTCAGAATTGAAGGGTTAAATTAGCTGCAATTACAATTCACTAATTAATCTTGAGCCACCTACCTCAACACCTTATTAATGTCTTCTTCTTCATCAGCATGTTGCATTGCGTCAACTAAATTTCCTCGCTTAAGTTCTCTCAGGGTAAGATGTCCATTCCCACTCCTATTTATGTAGTAATATATTCTGTATATTACAGTTTCAGCTGTTTCCAAAAGTTTTCCACAAACATTACAATGGACGTCATATATTTGAAATTTTACATTTATGAAACATATTTTAAGAAAATTTATTATACAATATATGAGGCACATTTTCTTACTTTTTGAGAAATATAATCATTTGAAAATAAGATATTGGATAACTTCATAGCCTTGGACTAACCATATCTATCCTGAAACTCAGGTGTGCCTTGCAAGAATTCTAGACCAGGGTGTGTCGCCAATAGTTCTTGGAGCACAGGCTTGAAATCATCCTGGCATAAAATTTCATCAAGAACTTTAGAATTCTTGTATATATTTCAATAAAGAATTGTTGCTACATAAAAATGAAGAAGATATAACAATATCATCTAAAGCCAAAAGAAAAAAATGGGATAAACATTACTGTAAAAAAATTGGGATCAACATTAATAAGTGCAGCGTAGAAAAACCACCTGAACAATGTACTTATTATCTGATTGCTTCAGTATTGTAAATATTTGAGTTGTTATCTCCTTTGTCAACATATTTCCATTAACCCAGTAATCAATGAAGGTTTCTCTGTAAAGAAATATCCATGGCTGTAAAGAAAATATCCATGGCTTTTTATCTTTGTTCTAATATATATTTTTAGCATTTTTCGCAACAACCAACTCCGTAGCGAAAAAATGTGAGAAATATTGCAAACCTTTTCACAAAACCAGTGTTATTGGTGTCAATTTTCTTGAAAATAGAGGTGGAAAAAAATGATGGAACCTTGCAGATCTCAGTAGTGACCAACTTAAATTCTGTGAAAATAAAAAGAAACACATGGTTAGTCACTAAATATTAGACATGAAGATATCTGAAAGAGCAACCAACCTTGCAGTTGCAAACCATCCTCATGGCCATGGAAAAGACTATTGATCTGAGTTATACACTGCTCTTTTTGGTCATTTGGTGGTGGGCGACCATCTTCAAAGTAAAACTATAATAAATACATAATAGAAAAGTCTTAGCACCAAAAAGTCAGAGATTATAGCAGTACGAGATGGCGGTACAACAAGAAAATGGTGGTACCACCTCTCCATACTACCATCTTCCTTACCGCCTCACTAAATGGTTACATAAATAGAATAACTTATAGCACAAAAATACATAGATCATAGCGTTATGAGATAAAAAAATGTTGGTACCACCTCACCGTACTACCATTTCATTGAATGGTTTATACATTAAGTGGTAAAACATTAAAAGTCAAAGCCTATAGATATATAATTAATTAGAAATTGGATCAACATGTAGACCTGAGGAATGAGTTCTTTAACATGGTCAGAAACTACTTTGAGAGGAGAGCTAAGATTAGATAGTCCAGTTCTTTGTCTAGTGATCCGAGGTGAACCGGTCGAGTTCCTTGGAGAAAGAGGCGGGCCATTACGTGATGGAAACATTGAAGCCAAAGGACTATTAGAACCTGAATTTGTAGCCGAAGAAGAGCCTCCACATACAACATTCAGTGCAACTCCAGATTTGATATCATTTACCAAAGAGGCAACCTATAAGAATAGATAATATCTCAAATTTTAGTCACATGTATATATCCAATATTCTCATATTATTCCAGAGAATTTCATAACATTTTACCAAACGATTGGTTTCAGGAAGCGTAAGCCATTGGTCAAAGAGCTTCTTGACGAAATCTTGATTCGATTTCATGGACATTGGTGATGTCTCCGGTAACTGTAACAGCTCTATATCGAGCATTAGAGACTCCATCGCCTTGGATTGGATCTTGCTTCGAATTTGATAAATTCTCAAATACAAAAATTCCTTGGTGGAGAAAGTGAGATTTTTATTTACATTCATACATGTGTAATAGTGTGTATTGCATATTAAGAAAAGAAAACTGATTCAATTAAGAAAAAGAAAAAAAAAAAGATCCTTCCGATCCTGGAGGAGATTAGCTCTGCAATTGTAGAAATTTCAGGGCAGATGGAGAGAAAGAAAAGGGAAACACACCTATTAACATTTTCTTAGTCAAAACTATAATTAGTAAACTGTTGAAAAATAAATACAGTAATTACTTTTTCCCAAGAATCAACATTAGTGTAAGCTACTACTTATTAAGGGTTGACACGTTGAGCAACAAAACCAGAAGCATTCGACATTTGTTTTCCCAATTGAATTTTTTAGTCAAACGACAATAATTATGAAGACATATTAACAAAAAAGAGCAATTATGTGATAATTTGTTTATTTTTCATGAATATTCCCTCCGTTTCACAAAGAGTGTCATTCTGACATTTTTTGACACATATTAAGAAAATTATTAAAAGTACAACTTTGTCCCTTATTAATACATTAAATAATTTGTTTTTATCTAATAAATACATTAAATTAATAGGGTTAAAACTGGAATATTGTTTAAAGTTTTACATTGAAAATATAAAACGACACTCTTTGTGAAACAAAAATAAAACCTTAAAACGACACTCTTTGTGAAACGGAGGGAGTATCACTTATTAAAGAGTTCTTTACATTTACATGTTATGACACTTTCTGAGTTAATTACAGTTATTGACACTTATGGTTGAGATGACACTTTTTCTAAGTGTATACACGTGAACAGCCAGTTTTGTCTTTCCGTAGCAATTTGTGTATCATATACCGGTTTGGATTTAATTTCTTAACCGATTATGCAAATGATTAAGCGATTACTTAACCCCCAAACTTAGTATCCGAGCCTACGTTTTCGATCTTCGCCCACCGCCGAAATCTCTATTTCGGATTCCTCTTCTGATAGTATTCCTCAAGAGTTCGATCTTTCGACCAGTCGACCCTTCCGATTTCTTCTCCACCACACCGCCGTTAATTCTTGTGTCGTAAAACGACGATTGTCTTTGCTCGTGTATTTTTAACCAATGATTGCTGACAACTACACCGGTGATTCCTCTTTATGATGCTTGAATGTTCACTGCCGGTTGCAACCAAGTTTTTTATGACTCTGAACAGTAAAACAGATGTTCTTGTCCACTTAATCATGATGCCTACCACAGGTGAGAATGGCAATATTGATAACTATCATAACATATTTATGTTCGTATATGTAACATCCTGATTTCTAGTATATATGGAAAGACTTATATGAATTAATTTGGTTACCTATATCATTAAAGTGCATTTATTTTTTCCGGTCAACTGTGGTAGCTTACGGTATCGTGTGAGTGAGGATAAAGCATAGGGAAAGAACACGTGGAGATTGCATAGACAGTAAACAAGTCTTACAAGCCTTCCATACCAAATAACTCCTGATCGTCGGACAAAGGTGGACCAACGGGCCTAGAGAGGACGTTGGGCCAACGAGCCTAGAGAGAGGACGTTGGACCAACGGATCTAAAGAGGACGTTTAGTTCACTGAGAGCGACGGTTAAGGACGTTCAGAGTTGATAACCAATTCAGATGAAAGGCGGATTCGGGGTCTCATGGATTTGATAGCCACTCCGTCTGGTTCCTGAAAGGAAATAAAAGAGCGGGGTCTCACAATATATATAAGAAATGTGGACAAATCCATATCATTGAATATATAAACCACATACGTGAATGTGTACATAGCCAGTATAACACAGTTCTCATTTGTCCGTATGATGTTTAGGCATTGGGTGAAGGAAAAAAAGGGATGAACAACATCTTATCGATTTTATATTGCAACTACATGGATCCGGAACAATGTCAAACACCTTCAAAGCTAGTAAGGCTAATGGTGTCGTCCACTTAGGTGTTGATTGGTTCACCCGCTATCACCCGCAAACGCAGCGTTTGCGGCTGGTAGCGGTTAGTGGTGTTTTATCACAATCATAGAAATCGCTGCAAACCGCTCCATATTGTTTTACACCGTTGAAATCCAAAAGCTGCTTCCCGCCAGCGTTTGCGGTTGCGGGTGGTAGCGGTTTGATAAAAAAAAATCACACTAGAAAAAAAATAGAAGATCACGTTAAAAACAGTTATAAAATCCTAACCCTACTAATCTTCTCCTATATATATAAACTTTAACCTCTCATTTTTTCTATCAAGTTCTAATCTCTAATCATGACTTTCATATCAGTTGAAGAAAATTAAGATACAAGCATAAGTGCCATAATACTTTAGTTTAATTCATTTATATTAATTATTCTGTTTCCACTTTTAAAATAAGAAATTATAAATATGTATCTTATTAATTACAAAATTAGTTTGTTATAATTCTTTTTTTTTGTTCTTTAGAAAGTTACATGATCAAACGAGATGACATGTGCGTTACTTCAACAGATCATTGCGAAAAAACAAACTCAAGATAAATATCCTAGATTTTTGAGTGCATTCCAGAAAAAACATATTTTGAAAAATACTAATGAGCAATTTGGAGTTGATTTGAGTTGGAGTCGTGCAAAAAATCGATTAGATCAATTGAAGAAATTTTACATCATGCATAAGACAAATCCAGAAAATCCATGTATTATAGCAAATTTTTTCCTGTCTATTACATCACTAAACACAATTTTGGGTGATGTTCCTATTAATTAAAATAAAACATATTATTATAAAATTTATTAGTTTTTAAAGTAATTATTTAGTATTTATTTATAATTTTTTTATTAATTATTTTGAACTAGTGATTTTGATATTAATTATAATAATATAGTTTTTCTGTTTTTTGTAATTATATGTGATTTTATTTTGGTAATTTTATGTTTAACCGCTAAAACAACCGCTGGTTTTCCAGTCAAAAATGTCCCGCAAACGGACCCGCCTTAAAAGTTTTACCAATCGTGCAAACTGCTAAATAACGCTCAAAACCGCAATCGTCCACTTCCGCAAATTCTCGCACTCGCAACCGCAACCGCTGCGTTTAAACCAGTCAAATCCTTAATCATGAAAGCGTACCACATGTAATCATTGCGATATTGATAATCACCAAATCATGTTTATATATAAGAATGTGGACAGATCCATGTGTTTAGCATTTAGTCGACAATTAATTTGTATTTAAGTTTACGGAAATGTGTAGTCTGTTAGACATTGATATGTTTATTTGTTATTTTACAAATGTGGATGTGTGAAGTGTGATAACCTAACTGATGTTGTGGACATGACCACCTGTTATCCGACCGTAACCTAAAACACTACTCTATATATTTTGCTTTCACAAAAAAAGAACTTGTCGTTCCATGACATGATTGCAGAGGGAATATAAAACCCACTTCATGACATGATTGCAGTGTGAGCTTGACATAATGTTCCATCTGGGGAAAGCTCACTTCATGCTAGAGGAAATGGTTATGAATGGTTGCATTGTGGAGACGAGCAAAGCCAACATACTTTCACCTATACAACTTATGGACAAAGCCCATTAATTCAAGAGACTTGTTTGTTTCCATTTCATCACACTGTTATAAAACCTCTTGGAATACTAATCCATTTTTTCATCGATTGGAATTAAAAAAAAATACTTCCTTTATGTTTTTCTTGGTAATCGTGCTAGTTAAAATAAAGGGAGAGTTTCAGATTTAACCCATATTCAAAGTCAAACACCAAACTAACCTCTTTTTTTTCTCTCTCCAACTTTGTCATTTTCTCACAATTTTATCCTTCCCACTTAAACTATTAACGAATGCCATTATAAAATCTAATAATTTAATTTTTCTTTAATTGGCTAAAGTCTTCTTGGACCTTCTAAAGACTTTTTAATTACGAGAATCTCATCGTCTTCAATACCTTCAACCACCATGAACAATCATGAAAATGGAATAAATGCTTATCAACCAGTTTTAAAGCTGTAATAAAACAAATATCTAAGCTCATTCACTCATAACCTTGCTCATTCTATCATAATTTCTTCTCCAAAACATCTGGGCAAAGTTACAATGCTTCGCGCCATGCTTTTTCAGTGAATTCTGGTTTACTCGACACCTGGGTTGTTTAATTTCGGTGAAATGCTAAGTTTTGGGTGGATAAGAGAAACTTAGGGGAGCTCAATTTTGTTAAAGGTAATCCTCGCACTTCAATTTCTCCACATTTCTGTTTTTATATCGCGAAAGTAGACTTCTCGTGAACTATACTGAAGTCTATGAGTCAACATAAGGTTATTTTTGCAATTGACTTTTAAAAAGAAGACTTCATTAAACCTCACGAGAAGTCTACTCGATATCATTTGAAAACAAAAAAAGCATAGTATACTTCATTTGAAGGCTTAAGAAGTCTACGAAAAAGAGGTTATTTTTGTAGTTGACCGTATTTTGACTTTTAGATTTAGACTTCATTATGAAGTCTACTGTTTTCGTCTGCATACGAAGTCTACTTTCAAGTTACTTTTGTATTTGACCAAAAACGTATATGTCATTTTTGTGTTTGACTTCTGTTTTTCAAAAATTAAAAAATTTAAAAAATTCCAAAAAGCTTCAGTAGACTTCACAAAGAAGTCTACAAACTGTAGACTTCTCTGTGAAGTCTACTTATTGTGTTCGGTCAAACTTAGAAGAAATATTTTTTTGAGTAGACTTCATTGTGAAGTCTATTAAAAAAATTCAATTGCAAAAATAACCTATTTTGTTCCGTAGACTTCTATTTAAAAAGTAGACTTCAAACATAGACTGTCAGAGAAGTCTACTCTTACATGAAGTCTACAATAGAAGTCTACTATGTTAATCAATGCATTGGTCAAATGCTAAAGTAACTTTTTTTGCCTGAAGTCTACTCCTGAAGTCTACTGAAGGAAAAGTCAACAGATTGATCAATTGCAAAAATGACCTTTTTTTAGTAGACTTCAGTAGTAGACTTCTCAATGAAAAAGTAGACTTCTCCTCCAGTCTACATTTGAAGTCTAATTAAGAAGTCTACTTTCCTATGTTTTTTTAAAAACGCGTTTTAAGCAAATGTATAAACTATT